TTTTTTTTTTTTTTTTTTTTTTTTTTTTTTGAGAAAAGATCTTACTCCATAGAAATCCAGGCTGGTCTTGAACTCACAATCCTTCTGCATCAGCCTCCTGAGTGCTGGGATTACAGGCATGAACCACAGTGCCTGGCTGAAACATTTTACTTACATCCATGACAACACCTGGATTCTCCTGTATCATTAGTGAATCCCAATCGCTGTTTCACATGTCCCCTTCATATTTATTTTGCTTTCTCTACCTCAGGATATAAGGAATAGCATAATTCACTTCTGTTGGGAGTGATTTTCAGTCTTAAGCATTTCTTTTAGCATTTTCATTCATTTTTATTTGTCTTAGGCCAACCAATGAGACTGGAAAATTATAAATGTCACCTTAAAGATATTTAAATCATAAGCAAGGCCAATAGAGGTTGACCTTTAAAAAGACTAGTTTATCTAGTAGTGACCAGAATTTAATTGGCAGGAAAAAAATAGAGTGAAATTGCACAGGTTCAAGGAATTTCCTTTATAAAATTATAGAGATAAAAAGTGATAATTGTCTTATCATTAGTGTCAGCAAAGATCTCTTTAGGAAGCAAATGGTATAATTTTAGAGGCTAAGTTTTAGTACAATCTCTCTCATTTCACCAGCACAACAGCCCTCTCATAGCTAAAATTCAAAGATGAAATCTTGACTTTTGAAACAATTTTTGAAATGGATATTCATTAAATGACAAGTTCAGTTGAACTATTTTGCATTGTATAAATAGAATGACCATCACAACCTTTTCTTGTTTAGCTATAAGTCTAGGCCATATACATGTAAAGCTGGAACAAAATGAGCTACTGTCACTTTTGGGCAGTTATAAAAGTTTCATTCTTTCCACTTAAATTACAAAAGAATGCCATATTTTCTGTATATCAAATCACCTTCCTCCGACCTGCAATGTACCTTCTGGGAATAAACAGAATATTTCCATAGTCACTGATATTTTTTTTTTTTCAGAATCAGGTATTGAACTCAGGACATTGCACTTGCCAGGCAGTCACAGAGCCGCTGAGCTACAACCCTGGCCCATTTATATTATTATTATATACTTTTCATCCTCTTCCTACTTTTCCCTCCATTTTATTCCTTTCTCTTGTTTATTACTTTCATATCTTCAGTGTTTAGAAAAACAAAACAGCATGGTCACAAGGCTCACCATTTCCACCAAGGATAAGTATAAGAACATGCCCGCAGTGACTGTTAAGATCCAGTCCTGGACGCACGGGTCAGCAGACACCGACAGGCCAATGTACAGTCCTACGAAGGCAGTGAGCGCACTTATAAAGTTCATCAGGATGGCAGTCTTCACAGAAAGTCCAGAGCTTAAGAGTACAGCAAAGTCTCCTGGAGTGTAACAGAAAAAGAAAGGGTAATTATCCTTGAACTGATGAGGCCTTTGTGCAGTTTTGAACTTCAGCAACTGGAACCAATTTCGGAAATGAAACTCATTGATCAGTTAGTAAAACTCTTTCCTATATTTTTCTAGGATTCACAGTGAAATCATTCTACTCTCAAGAAGTTGCAGTTTGGCAGAGTGCTACTCCTTTTGCTTCTCCTAAATATAGTCTATTCAGAGAAGTCTGTGGCATATTCTCCAGATCCTGATGTCCTGAGGTATTTTCAACTTAGACAAATCAAAATAAAGTTACCCTCTGGCCCAGGCCTTCTAAACCCTTCTTGCCTGGACTTTTGCCAGGGGAAATCACAACATGATATGGGCTTTTATGACTTAGGCAGGGACTGTTGTGGGGAAAAGGAAAACTACTTAATCGGAGATTCTTCTAATGCAAAAGTCAGGAAAACAAATTTTTCCTTTCAAAAATGGCTTTATCGTCTTGATATTTATAGAAAAATGATCTTCTGTCCATACCTTTTCTCCAAAGAAATGACCCACTCGTAATTTTCAGAGCATCTGCTTCTCACTTTCAGGGATTGAGACGGAAACGGAATAAAGAGACACCCTGGTGCTATCTCTCCCGGTTCCACTGCATGACTGGTCCCATAATGGGCCTGCTGTGGACTGTCACTCTGTCTCGTGATTTAGAGTTGAGGATCAGGTGCTTAGCCCCTCTTATAGTAAAAACAAAGCCATAGGACGTGACTCCCAGACCACCTGTATGTCAGTGCGCTTGGGAAGGACCTTAGGTAAATTCTGTAAGAAGCATGGGTCAATAATGTATTGGCGTCAGGACTTCAGAAACAGACCCTGGGTGCTCCAGGGGGCAATACAGACCTGAAAGGAAGAGGAAGCAGAGAGAATGGTTGCTAAGAGCCCTTCTCCCTCGGGTGTGTGCATGTGCAAATCCATTTCTACTATTTCTGGGCCTGTTTTCAACGTCCCTATTTTGTCCCATCGTAGTTCCTGGGAGGCAGTATGCCAATTACAAGGCTATTAAGATTATCCAGAAAAAGAGTCTTATGTGTATTTGCTACCATACGCCTGTCAATTCAATTTTATGCTTCACTTTAAACATTTTATATAAATCAGGTTGATGAAACCGTGGTTTGGTTTTAATTTAAATGTTATTTTATCTCATTGGCCTGTGTTCTAACATAATGGGAGAGTCCCCCTCTTAGTACTTTTCCCACATTTAATATGTAGATCTAAAAGTCCTTGCCAAAGTTCTTTAAAATGCAATTTCTCTTTATGACTCTCTCCCATACAGAATTCTCTGGGAATCAAAAAGAGTCCTGGCTGCCTCTGGGAAAGATCATTCCGGAGTCTACTGTAAGTTTTTCCTCAAGGTTCGGAAATTTGAGTCCTCTTCCTCTTATGGTTTAAACGAATCATAAATGGGAAGCATTCGTCTTTCAGTCCTATACTGGCAAGGCAATCCACGTAAACCAGAGCTGTAATATATCAGGATTTTCTCAAACGGCAGGAAAATTTCCAACTCACCCATTTCATGTGGAATTTCATGACACAAGATGGCAATTGTCGTGGTCACTCCCGACTCGGGTGATGATGAGAAGGCCGCTCCTAACACGAGGCCATCTGCAAAATTATGCAGGCTGTCGCCAACCAGTATCATCACCGCTAATAAGCTAATGGCCTTGGCTAAGGAAACAGAAAGGTACGAGAAGCGTGAACAAAGCACTACCTGTTTCATCCAAACACCATCAATTTTCTCATTTACTTTTTGTACCCTCTGCCGCATCTAATTAAATGGCTTTACTTTCTTTCCGCTTTCAAAATAGATCAGGACTAGAGTTGCAACCTCAAAATATAACTGATGACCTTCCCATCTGTGTCTTTTGAGATATAGTTTAAAGTAATTTAAGAACCTTGTTGTGTTTAGAATATTTATGACCCCCCTCACTCCAAATTCATTATATTGAAATGTATCCTACTGATGAGGTGGTTTCAGGAACTGGGGCTACAGAATTGTCATTAAAATGGAGTTGGTTTTCCCAAACTCTTGCTCTGAGTCTGATCATCTCATTTCCACCCGCTGCACTGTACTCTCTGCCACTGTGTGGATAACCATTGCTTTTGCTGGTTGGTGCGGATGACTTTCCTAAAGTACTTCATTCACGTCACAACCATGGCCACAAAAGAACCGTGAACTCCCCTTCTGCCCCTTACCAGATGAGCTGTGGAACAGGTACTCAATGAATTTCCCTTTCTGAGAAATATCTTTCAGGACTAGATCAGTTAGATGTTGGACAAAGCAAAACAAAGCTTCGGTTTTCGTGGTATTCTATTGGCTACTGCCCATTATCTGACTAGAAGAGAGTTGATGAAATAATTTGGATCATAACTGGGTTGAAATTTTTAATGGGCAGGATTCCTGATCTTAAAAAACCTAAGCTTTATGTTATAATTCAATGACAGTTGAACAACTCACAGATACAAAAAGCATTTTCAGGATAACACTGAGTAAGCGGCCCAGGTACCCCATTTAGTAAGAAGAGTCATTATCCAGTTAGCATGGGCAAACCCTTCATTAACTATTCAGCTGAATATACTCTGTGCAATAGGTGAAAGGAGCAGCTCTTGTTACTGTTAGAACTGAACACAGTATTCTAATAATTGTATTCAGGAGAAAGAGAAAGAGGTTGCTTTCTGGGTTCTGGCCCACATGTGTGCTCAGACTGAGGGAAGCTGCATTATAACGAGTTGACCTATTTCCTTTGGGGGATGTGATTTGGCACAACACAAATCCTACTTTAGAAAATAACATCAGGAAAGAGCAGTCATAGCCCAGATTTTCAACCAGGAGATAGCTGTGTTGATTCTGTTTAAAGGTGGCTTGTGCATTTGACTTGGAAAAATCATACATATTTGTAAATATCACTGTACTGACATATTCTTCTTCTGTTTTACTAATTCATTTTGTTCTTTGTTAAAAATAGGCAGATTTCAGAAACAGACCTAAACATGCAGATTAAATATCAAATTATTGAATTCGGGGAGTTTACACCGGCAGAGCCTAGCGCTCTCAGAGCCCATAACAGCCCCGAATCATTTCATTTTACCTGCCAGCTTTTATCAATAAAGTTCTACATTGTGCAAATAAAAATTATTTTAAAGTGACATATTTGACAGCATCATAGTGGGCAAATACAGGTGTGGTTTCTATGTGCCTACACATGGCTTTGATATTCACAGAATATATTCAAGTGCAAGATTTTTAGTGACTACACATACTCTGCTAGGAAACATGTGACCTATTCTGGTGTCTGCTACTTGATAATCTCTCATTATGGACTTCCAAATGTCAGACTATGGATATATAACAAGCCTGGAGGCAAACATACACATTTGCATGCAAGCCACAAAGAAGACATTGTGTATGTTCTTTAAGATAATTTAAATGTTATTTAGTGGAACATAGGTATTCACTGGTAATTTAATGTACTCATTACAGAAATAACTATGATATTTTACCTTTGCTCCTATTCCCAGCAGGCATATGTAAGTTCCACATTTCTGAACTATTCTAGCTTTTCCCTGTTGAAACATGGCCTGGAACTAATATGATTTGGTTTTTTATTTATTCAAACTGGAATGCAGATAGGATTTTCACATCCTGTCTTTTGAAACTCAAGTTAATATGAAACAAGTCATCAAATAGTTGAAACTAATTCAGTATTTTCCTGGCAAAGGGGCAGTTACATATTCTAACTTGGATTTGTTCACCGTTCATGCCCTATGCCAAGTTTGATATCTATAATGGGAAGATATGAAGATTGCAAAATATTTGTATGGGATGACTGTTACTCCCTGGTCAAATTTCCACTCCCTGCTCCTAATTTGACTTGGCATATCCTTGTCTCCTTTTCCTTTCTTAAAAAAAAAGTTCACTGTAGATCTACTACATGCCAAGCCTTCTAAATTAGTTCTGGGATTAGAACTTTAAAGGGAAAATTATTATGAGCGATGTCCTGAAAGCATAACTGAAACAAATATGTAATTATATATTTTAAATCAAATAAATTACATGAGTTAGTATAGCTAAAACAGAACAGTCATCACTAACAATAGTAACATAACTCTAAAAAGGGCTTGCTCTTCTTAGTTTTTATATTCCAAACTACATGACAAAGTATGGATGAAGAAAATTCTAATTTAATCCTGTATATATGGTAACTAAAACACTGAACACCTTCAGATGTTCCTTGAGTGTACAAAAGAACATAAAAGAATTAATAGATGCATGATGAATGAATGATTACAGAGAAATTGTCAGTGTGTCGATATTTCTTTAGCTCCCCAAACCTGGGGCATATTAGCTATGTGATCCTGAGCAAGGACTTCACCACTCAAACAACTGGTTTCTTCATTTGTATAAATTTGATAATATTTATTCTTGCTTCCTTAAGTTGCAAGACAATTACACTGAGAGACTCCATCTCAAGTGCTTAATACTAGGCGTGACACATAAAAAGTGTTTAGTTCATGGTAGTTATTTAACAAATGGTTAACTAACTTATTATGATAGAATAGGGATAACTAATCATGGCTGGGTTAACATTAGAACAGGAGGAAGTTTGTGTCACAACAGAGGAGAATAAAGGAGAAAAAATGGGGGAAGATCTAAGGGCAACTGGAGGAAACCAAAACAAAGCAAGACAAAGGACTTCAAAGAACCCTCAGAATCATAAGCAGAGGGAAATAAAGTTCGATCTAAAATTGGTAAATTAAATTCAGAACTAGCAAAAATTGTAGAAAAAAGGTTGAGGGCAAATAAAAGAAACAAATGAGTTGCAGAACAAAATATGAAAAAGGGGACGGACATCCTTGATTCCTACTCTACTATCTCAATGGCACAATCATACATGAGGTAGGCATTTGTGCTCACTTTTCCGGTATCTATGAGAAAAGTTAGAAAAAACTAATGATGTCTCCATATTTTGTGATGAATGAAAAGTTTCAAATATCCATATGGGAACAATTTTAGAGCCCTGATACCCACACACGTATATACCATAATTGTATATTTCAGGGGAGCAGTCTTAAACAACTGGGAGAAACAGATAGATAGATCTCAAATATTTTTGGCAAAGTTTTTAATAATAAAATATATACCCAATATGAAATCTATGTAGTTTTGACACATTTATTTTAAAGCACTTTCTATGGCACTTACTACATTTTAAAGTGTAGCTTTTGAAAGTTGGTACTCACATTTTCTGTTGGAGGTTGTCATACCGGCTACAGAAATTTCACCTGTCTGTGAATCTTCTGGGCCTTTCTATTTTAAATTTTAAAACAACTGGTCAAAAGTAAATAACAGTCACATTTGGTTGAAACATGAAACATCTTAAGAGCTATGTTAATTTTGTTTTTTTTTTTACAGGGGATTGAACTCGGGTCCTTGCGCTTGCAAGGCAGGCCACCGAACCTCCGAGCTAAATTTCTGTCCTGAGCTATGCTAATTTTTAAGACCTTTTCCTATACTAACTATATACTAGAACTAAGTTTTTTAAAATTAATTTTATTGGTACAATTTAAATATACATAAATCGTACCACATTCATCACAAGGAATTTGAACCTGAATAGGATGAAGTTGGAAAGACAAAATATATGTCAAACAGAAAGTATGTGAACAGAGCATAATTTTTGTTTGCACTATGAAATTTAGTTGAAAATAACACACTTGTGTAGATCAGTATCTTCCACAGAGAGCTGAAGGCTACCGAGAGACAGTAATTCAGACTTCAATTATGTAACCCTTTATGAAACCCAAAAGCTACAGAAAAAAAATAATCCTTGATTTAATTTGGCCCATTTCCTGTGTGGTGGGCTGTAGATTTAAGATTTATTTTTCAGTGTGTAAGCTGATGGGGTATTCTGCATGGAGAAGAAAACTGAGGAAACATAATACTTCATTTCATTTATTGCACTGTAATATTCTGTTCTTATTGCTTTTCCAGTCAGGAAAAGAATCTTGTCAATATGGAAAGTAGATCAACAGATTTACAAAAGACAAATAGATTTATTAAAATTTTCACTCTTCAATATGAAAGAGAAGATTTTATAATCGCCTTCATTAGGAATACATGATTTTAATTCAGAGACTGGCCTGCCAGTTTCCAGAAGACACTCTATGCTTACCATTCTCAACCAACTGTGAAAACGATCGCTTTCGAGCAGCGTTAAACACAGCGGAAAAGCGTGCTCGTGTGACTCTATCGCTCAAAGTTGTGGAAACTTGGACACAATATTGATTATAAATCAAAACGCTTTCAAAGCTTTCAACGCTTAAGGGGAGATTTTTTTTATGTTCCTATCTCTGTTAGCATTAGATCTGCAACTCACTGCCAGGCTTCTATTTTGCTCAGTGAATGTCACACAGAGAACTCAGTTATGGCTGTCAGTTAAAATCTACCCTTGTCCTGTAACCACCTATACCAAAGCCTGGGTGACAAGTGCCACGCTTACAATTTTTTACTGCTTTCATATCTGTCCTGTTCCTATGCTTGCTTCTTTAAGTAGAATGGGGATATTATTTTGAGCTTAGTTGGAATTACATTAGAATCTTAACAAGCCTTCATCTTTTTAACCATCCCATCAAACAATTTTGAGAATACGGACAATTTTAGTGTAGAAAATTCAGTAGCATCAAAGGCATTTACTCTAAAACAACTCATCAGACAGAATCAGTTCTCTGCTGCATTGTGAAATGATCACCCCAGTCCTTGACTAACTAAGGATTAATCCCTTAGTCAACATTTATTTGCGTCAACCTAGGGATGGTTAACGGTTAAGCAGAACAGAACTCATCATGTCAACTGCTTTACGAAAACTGGGAAACAAAATGATAAAAACTGATCGTTCTTCCAATGTTTCAAAGTGGTGCAGGGAGCAATGGTTTAGCTCCCCGGAGTGTGTTCTGTGCTCTTTAAAACAGCGTCTAGGTGACTGGCACAGATTTCCAGTGTTTATTGTGGTCCAGAATAGGCAAACGCTGAGTACCTTCTATTTCATCCACCCCACCGATGTCCATCTATGCGTTGAGGAACAAAGGAAAAAAGGGAATCAAATCAGTAGGATGCCTCAGAGCAGTAACCTACCAGCTGGATAGTGGACACAGACTTGCCTCTGCCCGGCTGGTCACTTACTTCAGGGTTGAGTGCAAGGTGATGGGAGTGGCCCATGTACCCATCAGCCAGGGTCAGACCCTGCTGGATGAGGATGGGTGAAAATCAGTGTGGAGGCCGGAGTGCACAGGCAACTCCGTGGTTCTGCTGAACATCTTGTTTACATACCAAAGGGTTGGGTGGCACGAAAGGAGTAGGCCTGGGAAAACTTCATGGCCATGAGTATTTGCTAAGATGTCTTATTATAGAGAAGCCCAATCCTGCCCTGAAATACACATGCTCCGAATACTTTCAGACTGTGGCTTCAAAAACCTCTAGTTGTGATTAAATTAAAAAAAAAAACAACAACAACAAAAAAAACCTTGAACAGTAGTAGTTCTCATATTGTCTTTTTCATACATTAAAATTTTGTACTTGCACAGAATTTAATTTTGACTTTGATTGCACTACCACAGCGATGATTATCAAAACTGTTTTAGTAGTGTAAGTACTAAATTAACACCTCCAGAAATGCATTCACCAAACACTTGCTGACAAACATTTGTATTCCTTTTATTTTGTGCAATAAGCCAAGTCTTGAAATTGTGCTCTTAAAACTCATTTTAAATTCTCAGAATTGCATTTTTGGATATTCAGAATTTCTTTCCTGAATTTCCATCCTGCTTAAATTTCTACCTATCAGGTAGAGACTATGTGAGCATTAGAATTTATTTTTCCTGGACCCCAAATGCCAATCTATTCAATACAAATAGGGATCTATTATTACTTTTTATGCTTCTTGAGATTAGAACTCCTTTTGTGGCAATTAATTTCCTAACCATTTCAGGTAAATTCTGTGACTAAAGCTTCTATTTCCAATTTCTAAATTACTATAGCATCCTAGCTTGAGCCCTAGAAAAACCCTGCTGTATTAAGACAGAATGTTTTTGCAAGATCTGATTTAAAATCTATTTGAAACTTGGATATTTATTTATTTTTGAAAAGTTTCAGACTTTCAGATAAGCTGAAAGAATTTTATTTTAGTTATTTGTTTGTTTGTTTTGATACCAGGATCAAACTCGGGTCCTTGTGCTTGTGAAGCAGGTGGCAGAACCACTGAGCTAAATCCCCAGCTTACTTTTTCTCATTGAGTTTATTGGTACCTTTTAGGTATACAGCATGGTTACATTCATCATTGGGCTCTGGCACCTTTATATGACTTATCTTGGTTCTTACTTTCCCCCTTACCCCTTCTTTACCCGCTCCACCCTTCCCTATTTATTTCCATTTTTTCCTTTTCTCTTATTTTTTCTTTTTCCTTCTTTTCTTTCCCCTAACCTTCCCACTTCCCCTACTCCTTTAGCCCTTTTCTTCCTATTTCACATTATCAATTATACAATTTGAACCTTATTTACACTTTCAGTTTTTCAATGTGATACTCAGATACCCAACTTTCTGGATTCTGTAATAACAGTTCACTACATTTTACCACATAACTGTCTGTCATCTCTTTATGCAACATTAAACACACTTTATTTTTTATAAAGCAGAATTTTAAACAAATTTAGAAATGATATTTTAAAGGCATTAATATTTTCCCTGGGCATAGGCATTATATCTACATCAATAGTTATTAAGTGAACAGCTAAAGGGCCCAGGAAAGGGAGGAAAACCATGAAGGACAATACGGTTCCACATCTCTGTAAGGAAATATTACTTTATTTTTCTCTTGGAGTCTTTCACAAGCATTTATCTTTTTTTTTTAAAGCACTTAACTTTTTAACAGTCCCACCAAGCAAGTAATCTCCTTTTTTTATAATGTATATAAGTAAAGGAAATATTATTCATGAATAAAACACAATGCTTTATATATTCATCATACACAAAGAAATTGATCAAATGCAGGCACAACAAAAGAAATTATTCAAGCTAGAAAGAGTCTTGCTGTAATTACATTTCTGAGCTTCTGGGGTCTCTAATTTTAAACACTCTTAAGATAGATGGTAACAGGTGATTTTATGAATTGTTGAAGTTTTCACTTTCTTATCTATTTGTTTTTGTGTAGAAAATATATTCAAAATACTAATTAGTAGTTTAAGATTTGGGGACCCTTCTTTCCCCAGACATGAAATAATGTCCTGTTTTGAACCAACCATGAAATTCAACAGAAGATTGTAACAAATACATTAACTGGCCAACAAGAAATGTTTAAAAAATAATAACTATAATTCAGAGGAATTTGCTATTCAAGGTGATTTATATATTCTTTAAATTAGAGCCCCTCCCTTACATAGACAATTTCATGAAGATGTCATTAGTTCTGAACAAGCATCCTCGAAATAACAAATATAAAACCTTGAAGCAAAAAAATAAATAAATAAACAGAACTTAAAATATACCTTGGCATCTGGTGATACGAGAAGAATAAAACATTTTTCTATCAAGAAAAATCCATGAATGCCTCCGATCAATCCCAAAAGTTTCCAAATATGACCTTTGCTTCCATGGAAATGTCCAAATTCTGGAGTTTCCTGCCTATGTAAACCAAGAACCTTAAAAAAAGAAAAAGGAAAGAAGGAAATAAAACACTTGTTGGCTTTAATATAAAACAGAGTAGGGGCTGGGGATTTAGCTCAGTGGTTCTGCCGCCTGCCTTGCAAGCATAAGGACCCGAGTTCGATCCCCAGTACCACAAAAAACAACAACAACAACAACAACAAAAACAGAGTAGGCATAGTATCTGCATATATTTTAAGTAGAGGGAATCTCATGACAATTGAGATTGTAAATAGCCCAGTTTGCTTCTGAATATGTGAATACATCCACGATACAATTTAACCCACTCAAATAAAATGTGTACTACAGGAGATCAAGGAGAGCTTTGAAGGGCAACGTGTACTAGGGAACAGAAACACCGAAGCTGTATTTTAGCTAGTGACCTAGATTTTCATTCATTCTGTCTTTTGGCTGAAATGTTTTCAGAAGTTCTATCTGCATCTGGTTACAGAACAATGCTTTATGTGATGTTAATATATTTTATATCCAGAACACGTGTAAATACATAGTTCATCTGAGGGTTCATGTGAGCTTTATTCTCCCCATTCTCCATTGCAATTAAAGTAAATTTTTAACAAATGCTCAAATAAGTAAGAAATCCACCTGGAAGGCATTCTAGTGAATGCAACTAGTGAATGACTGAATCAATTTATTGATTGACTTTATGATCTTCTTTTGGTGATGCTGAGCATGAAGCCAGTGAACCCAGGGACTGCTGAGTTACTTCTCAGCTTGCACCTTTTGTATTTTTATTTTGAGGTAAGATCTCACTAAGTTGTCCAGTCTGGCCTCACATTTTTGATCATCCTGCCTCAGACTCCCAAATAGCTGGAATTACAGGCATGTTGCCAATGCAACCAACTTCATGAATTCCTGCTAGTGAATCCTTTTGTACCTTATTCCTTCTTTGAAAGAAGGAAATTAGAAAACACGTCAGTGACTAGAAAAAAGAATCCAAAAATTCATTTGGAACCACAAGAGACCTAGAATAGCAAAAGCCATTATAGGCAACAGTCACATGGCACCAGGTGTAACAATTCCCAATTTGAAACTATACTACAAAGCCACTGTGATAAAAACAGCATGGTACTGGCAAAGAAATAGGCCTGAGGATCAGTGGAACAGACTGGAAGGCACAAAAACAAATGCAGATGTACTCAGCTACCTCATCTTTGACAAAGGAGCTCACCATCCTCAGTGGAGGAAAGATAGCCTCTTTAATAAATGGTGTTGGAAAAACTGGATGTCAACCTGCCACAGATTAAAATTAGACCCTTATCTTTCGCCATGCACTAAATTAAAATCCAAATGGATTAAAGATCTAAATATTAAAACAGAAACATTAAACTTGCTGGAAGGTAAGTTAGGCAGAACTCTGGAAGACATTGGTATAGGAAAAGACTTTATGAACAAATCCTCAGTAGCACGGGAACTAGCAGAAAGAATCAACAACTGGGATCTCATCTTACTAAAAAGCTTCTGTACTTCAAAAGAAACCATTAGCAGAACTAAGAGACAATCTACAATGTGGGAAAAAATTTTTACCAGCTGTACCTCAGACAAAGGACTATTATCAAGGATATATAAAGAACTCAAAACAATCAGTCCCCCCAAATATAAAGACCCGATCCAAAAATGGGCATCCGAAATGAACAGACATTTCTCATACAAAGAAGTGAAAGCAGCAAGAAAATATATGAAAAAATGTTCCACATCACTGGTCATTCGAGAGATGCAGATGAAAACAACACTGAGATTCCACCTCACCCCACAAAGAATGGCTGCTATCAAGAAATCACACAATAACAAATGTTGGCGGGGTTGTGGGGAGAAAGGAACCCTCCTCCATTGTTGGTGGGAGTGCAGACTAGTGCAACCACTATGGAAATCAATATGGAGATACCTCAAAGAGCTTGGACTGGAGGTTCCATTTGACCCAGCCATCCCTCTGTTGGGTATCTTTCCAAGAGAACTAAAAGAATCATATCACAGAGAAGTATGTGCACCCATGTTTATAGCGGCACAGTTTGTAATAGCTAAATCTTGGAAACAACCTATTTGCCCATCCGTTGGAAACTGGATAAAGAAGTTGTGGTTTTTCTATAAAATGGAATATTACTCAGCCATAAAGAGCGAGAGAATAGATTCATTCATAGGAAAATGGATACATATTGAAGATATACTCCTAAGTGAAATAAATAAGTCACACATGTGTAAATACCAAATAGTTTCCCTGGTGTGAATATTCTGCAACAATGCATAAGATTCTAATAAGATTACTGACATTTAGAAATTTGAAGAAAGGAGCTAAAGGTGTAGGGAAGGTGTGATGCGTAGGGGAAGAACAAAAAGGGAAAAGAAAAAAATGTGAGAGAATGAAAAGATGAAAATAAAGTGTTTGTAGATGGGGAGGGGAGGAGGGGGTGAAGGGAGGGCAGAGGCAAGGGGAAAAAATGAGAATCAAGACTTACCATGTAAAGGTACATGATCCCAACAATGAATGTAACTGTACTGTATCCCTAAAATGTACCAATAAACTCAATAAAATTAAAAAAAAGAAAAAGAAAAAGAAAACACGTCAGTGGTTTACAGATGTAGGATGTCCCTGACAAATTTGAAAAAGGAAAAAAATGATTATGTATGAGATTTGTGTTTATATATTCACAGCTGTGCGTGTAGGCATTTACGTGAGCACAAACACACTCAACCCTCCGTATCCAGGATTCTCCCTCTGCAGACTCCAGCAACTGTAGACTGAAAATATTCAGGGGGAAAAGAAAAGCACCTCTGCTGAACAAGTACAGATTCTTTTCTTGTCACTATTTCCTAAATAAAATGGTACAACAGCTATTTGCGTAGCATTTACATTGCCGTGGTATTATAAGTACTCTGGAAATGATTTAAATATAGCAGAATATGAACAGGCTATGTACTAATAATACACCATTTTATAGAAGGTACTTGAGTATTCTGGATTTGGTACCCTCAGGAGTCCTAGAGCCAGTCCTTCCTACAGAGTGGGGTAACCTACAGAAATGTGTGCACATTGGTGAGTATATACGTGCATCTGTATTTATACTTTGAGTACATACATAGGTGTAAAACATGTATCCCTCGATTTTGTTCCATGTGCACAGTAACACACACCCATCTATTGCTTGTGATAGCCTTTTTTTCCCACAAAATAAAACAAGAAAACTTCACAACCTCATGATAAAATGTAGATCTTTAAACTGAATGAATCTAGCAAAAAAAAAATATATATGGGGAAAGCATGACAGCAGTATTTTGCTCATTTCGGCACCAGTTTCGAAAACTTGGGTCATATTCAGGAACCGCTGATTTTTCTAGCTTTCCACCGCACTTGTGCCACATTGTTCTTCCTCTTTCCAAAAACTCTTGTCCTCACCTCTCTTCTCAAGCCCAAAACTTGCCTTCTACATCTCAGGAAACCAAGCTAATCTTTTAGGTTCGCCCCCGCACCATTTCCTGCCACCCCCAAATCCACCCTAGCTGCCCTTATTTGTGTGCTCCCCTTGGCATGAGACCAGGCAGCTTCCAGATCCTGTAGCTGTTTCCCAGGATCCCTGGCAATAAACAACACTGCAGCCACGGTGGTGACCTAGAAAAAGGCCTCAGCCACTGCCTCAAGCCAATAATGAGCTCTGAAATATTTCCAGAAAATTAGATTACAAGGGAAATTAAAACTAATAATGGCTTGTTTTATTTCTCCAATGCTCACACCGTGATTTTCCAAACATCAAATAATCATCAAGCCTCTCAGCAACAAGAGTGACCCTGTAGAAAAGTGCCAGAGGGCTGTGGAAAATTTTAACATGTTGGGCATTGCAAGGGTGGGACCATTGGTCCATTGTCCTCATCTATTATATTAAGAGATTTTTAGAGGGAAGAGAGATAACTTCCTCTGTAAAGCTGTCCACCTGGACTCTCAGCATCTCAGGTCTTCATGCTTTCACTTCCGGTACATGAATGAACTCTCAGAAGACTACAACATAGGGCTCAGCTTCCTGGTACTCACATTTTCCTTCTGAGAGATCCAGACACTATTAGTCAGGCAAGAAAGAGAAATCCACTCTAATGGTTCTCTCCCTCTCTCTCTGTCTCTCTCTCTCTCTCTCTCTCTCTCCCCTACCCTGTATTCTCCATTTTGCTTCCCATTGGCTGAACCCAAACAAAAATCCAGACTGCAAAGAGTTAGAGAGACAACACCTTCTGAGACAGAAAAGAGCAAGGAAAAGCATAAAGAGGATCTGAGTTGGGGAATGAGGGGAGGCCAGTGGAGCAAACCAGCGTGATGTCTGGCATATGCTTCTGTGTCTTTCTTAATAGGAATCCATATCTGATCACCTTTTTGTATAAATTTCAAACACAAGAATTGCAATTTTGTCATCTTTTTCTTTCTACAACTGTAGAGAAGCTTAGGGCAAATAATCTCTCTTTCCAAGGAAAACACTGACCCCTGTATCTATTACCGAAGTTCCCATAAAAGTTTGCATAGATAGCTCTGATAGTTAAATATAAAGAGAAATTGGACATACTGTGATTTTTTTTTCACATAAGAGAAATCACGTGGTATCTAAGTTTGTGTGTCTGATTTATTTCACTTAACGTTATGTTCACGAGTTGCATCCATTTGCTTACAATTGCCTCGTTTATCGTACTTCATGGCAGAGTAGTATTCTATCATGCAGAAATATCACATTTTCCTTATCCATTCATCTGTTGATGGACATGTGCTGGTCTTGGATATTTCCAAGATCTAGCTATTACGAACTAGGGTGCTATAAACATGGGTGCGCATGTTTCACTGCACTATGATGACATTAACTCTTTGGGGAAGAGACCTAGAAGGGGGATAGCTGGGAATTTCTACTTTTAGTTTTCTGAGAAATCTCCACCCTGATTTGCACAGAGGTTATGCTCCAAGTAATATTTTGGGCCCTCTATTAAGATTATGGTACACAGTTTATTAACTATTGTCATTCTTGAATTACTTTGCTATGAAAATTGAGTTTTTTGAAAGAAGTAAGAAGAGTGTTTTTTAAATATTTTCTTAATAGCTACATGTACTACCTTAAAATTCAAATGGTTGATGAGAAATTAAACACACTGCATCTGAACTGGAAAGAAACTGGTTACCTGAGGGATAAGGTGAAGTACAGCATCCCCTGAGAGCGTCCCGACAGCCAGGCCCACGAAGAGCTGCAGAATGAGGCCGTAGTTCTCCTCACAGCTGTGGAAAAGGACGAGCGCAGTCCCAAGCATGGAGCCCAGCGTGAGAAGCATCACAGCTGCTGTGCTGTAGCCGTATCCTGAGTCAAAGGAGGGCCGGGGGTTTAGGTCAGTGGTTCTCCCGCCTGCTTTGCAAGTGCAAGGACCTGAGTTCGATCCCCAGCGCCAAAATACTAGCAGACACGCCACAACCATCTGCCCGACATGGACAGGGGTATGCAACGGCTTAACCCCAGCACATCCCCCCAGAATAAAAGTTAAGAAAATAAACTATATGTTATATTTAACACAATTTAAATGAATTGTTGGAATGATCATATAATAACACAGGTTTTATTTCATTCCAATTCAGTAAAAATAATCCATTTTAGAAAAATTATCTCTAAAGATTTTCAATCCAGTTTTATATCCCATTCCTCCCTAAGTAGGCTCTACATGGGAGATATCATTCTTTTTATCGAAAACATAAAGATATTTGAATTTTAACGTGCGTACCTAGATGTCTAATAAAACGCAAAACTGTCACACCTTTTGGTTGCTGTAAAAGATTTAAAATGTCAAGAACACACAAGGACAAACTAGGGTGTGATATTTCCCAGTCAAGAGGCAAAGTTTCAAGTTCTTCTGTTTTTCAACCCCCCCACACACCCCAGTTCTGTGGGAGGCACTGTATAATACTGAAGAATCAATGGTTCATCACTCGAGAGCTTATGAAATCTTTTTAGGTCCTCTGTGAGTGTGGATTTGCCTATTGTCATGCGGAAAGGACAACCTGGAAGGCCATCAACTCTATTCGCAGTCAAAGGACTCTGCTGATTTACCCCAGGTCCCTGGATGGGTGCCACAGAGTCTTGACTGGAGTCAGAGAATTCGCAAATAGGCTTTGCCTAAGCGTTTCCCATCACTGCACTCAGACTTGACCTCCTTATTAAACCCTTAGCCACTCCTGGGCAGCTACTTTAAGTAGGTCTAAAATTTGATTTGTATACGGCGGTAATCGTCTTTCCTGGAAACTCAGCTGAAGATGGCACTTTGGGGTTGAATTACAGCACACTGAACAGTAGTTCCTGAACAGTATTTTCCTGTGTGAGCCCCTCTTCGATGCAATATCCTCCATTTCTGTAATTTTCCAATGCCAATACAAGCCTTTCTCCTCACTTGCAGCATTTTCAATTTGAGAAGAACGATGTTTTTCTGGATTCTTCAGTGTGCATGACTTGTGACTTTTGGTTCCTTTGTTTCAGGAGAACTATTCCCTAGAAACTATGTCTCAGAACTTCATTAAGTTCATTAAAACTTCCTTTATGGATCTTCAAAACGCCCTTCCCAAGCAGCCTGTCTGTCTCAGGCACCAGGCCAGGTAGTGGGAAGATAAAACATGGCCGGGGACGCTCAGAGTGCACAGGTCCGCCTCCTTCCATTGGTGGGCAAGACTGACCACAGATGCTAAATTATTTCACTGGTCCCTTTGAATGAAGCTTTTTGTTCCCCTCCCAGTGAAGGGGGAGTCTTCGCTATTTAGCCTGGGCATGTTTCTGTTCCCATACAGTCTTCTAGCTGGTACAGAATCCCCTGTGACTTAGAGGGGAGTAGCTGAACAATTCAGCCAAGCTGGCACTGCAGGCCAGCTCAAAGGGAAAGAAAGCGGCTCTAAAAAGATTACAAGGTCTTGGGATTAACTGTAATTTTTGGGGTTTACATGGGATAATTGTCACACTGTTACTCTATGCCATGGCATAGGTTTCAGGAAGTAGAAAGTGCTTGAGATCACAGGTTAGCTGGCAAGACTCAACTCTGCACTCCCGATTCCAATGCTGAAGCTTTTTTCTTTAATGCCATACCACTTCTGAACACGGATTTAATAACTGGTCCAGCTCTAGGGGGCAAAATCAGTGTTTGCGCATTATATACAAAATGTAACATACTCACTGGAAAGTAGAATCGCATCATAGCTAGAAATAAGGAGCCTGGGACCAGCTTGCTTGAGTATGAATTCCAACTTTATAGCTTACCAGTTGTGTGTCCCTGAGCAATTCTCTGGACATCTCTGTGCCTCAGTTCCCTCATTTGTAAGATGAAGGTAACAGTGATAATACCTGTACCTCCTTGTACCAGTGGGGAGATGAAATGAGTCGGTAAATGAACAACATTTACTCCAGCAAGCACCTCGTGCACGGTAAGTGTCCTGCTCCCGCTACCTCAACGGTGGACATCAGCTTTCTGATGAAGAACTTACTCTCTAGAGTGGTAGGTGGATGTTTTGTTTGTTGGTCCATGGGCAGCTGGCAAGAGCAGCTCAGGAGTTGCTGGATGATCCCTGGGCTGATCTGCTTGAAGTCCTCCTTAGAAATGGGTGAAAGGCTGTTCTGTAAAAATATCTCCACCAGCTGCCCAGCAGAGAAGCAAGTCTGTATGGAAAAGATGCACATTGTTACTAACACTGGGACTCAATGATATGCTCCCCACGGCCAATCTTGAGGACCCAGAACTAGGCAGAACAACAACCAAGTGTGTGTGAAGCCATGGCTATGTGCATTTCTTTGCTACCTTTTGTTCATTAACCTTTTGTTAACTTTCAAAGATTATTTTAAGTCTCTGATCAAAATCTACGGTACCACTTTTTTTTTTTTTTTTAACCAGGGATCGAACTCAGGACCTTACACTCTTAAGGAAGGCAGTGGAACCACTGAGCTAAATCCCTGGCCCCAAATCTGCAGTACCCCATGCCTACTCTAAGCATTATTTAATATTTCTTGTACCCTTTTCTCTCTCCTGAACGGACACATTGTTATTTCACACTGTGTTACACGATGTTCTAACCAACAGCCTAAGGCAGCCTGGATATTTTTGTGGTTTGTTGTTTTTCAACAAAGCTAAGACTTCAGATGATAAGCGGGAACTCAGTGGCGATGAGGTGGCTGTGTTTAATGCTCTGATTTAAAAATCTGTATTGGCAACACATTTTCTAAAGCAGCAGAAGGTTAAATTTGTAAAAGTGAATGCTGCGCTAACTGGCTGGTGTGCAAAGCAACACTGAATGTCTGGAACTGACATCCCTTCTCCATGAAAACGGTGGAGAGCACTGTTATTCTCTACGGACTTTCCCTATTTTCATCTGTATTTTTACATTTTTCCATGTTACACAGGCATACTTATAAGAAATAAGACTTATAAGTAAAAATAGGTGTGATAAGTCTCTAAAATCTGCCAGAAGGTATTTGTCCATCAGAGAAGTGGGAGATGACATTGGATGTGTCAAAGATTCCAACTGTAAGAACGGCAGACAGTTTCTCTGGCACAAATGGATGACTAACATCATCCCCTATTCAGTAATCCCCATTCATAATCTTTAGTTGTAATCAGTAAAGTATTTTGAGAAAATAAAATCAGATCTACAAGGCTGGCCTGATTTTTGTTTTTTTGAGACAGGGTCTCGCTATTAAGTTGAGACTGACAGGACTCACTATGTAGCCCAGGCTGGTCTCAAATTCACAGCGATCCTCCTGCCTCAGCCTCCCGAGTGCTGGGATTACAGGCGTGCGCCCCCATGCCCGGCTGGCCTGATTTTCTATGCTATAGAATGTAGGATTTCTGAGCCCATTAGTAATCAGGAAATAATGACACATTTGCTGGTGCCCGTTCCCCACAGAAAAACCTTTGGTGAGGATTCCACAGGTCAGAAAATTTCATTTGGATCGGGAAATGTTTGGTTATGTGGAACAGAAATCTCTTGAAACAGAAAGACAAGAGGATCCTGTATTGGAAGGGGTCAGAGGGCCACAGTCTAGAAGGCAGGGGCTGAAAGGAAAACTGCACCTCAGAAGGAACTGTGATCTGAAACAGAATCAGAACCAAAGATGCATGTGTGTGTAGGCTTGCACTCCTGCCCCTTGGTACATAACAATTTCCTCGTGCACTATAGTCCTCTCATTTTGTACACAAATGGTCATAGAAGTCCTAACTCCAAAGAAACCTTTAAGTCAAGGACCCAAGACTGGATAGAATCTGGAAATCCTGAGAGAGAGAGAGATTGGTCCAGAAAACTCATGGGCAGGCTCTCTGGAGTCAGGAATCTTTCTGGTTGGATCAGTACTGCCCATGTTGAAGGAGTAAGGAGGAAAGGGCCTGGGCAAGAGCTCCCACAGCTTTCTACTTTGAAAAGCATCAACAGAACGTTAAATTGTGGTCGTTTTCCCTTTATTAAAATGATGTATGCCAAAGACAACTTTCTCTTTCGCTCGTTTGTTACTGAAGGAATCCAATTATTTCACTGTTTAAAATATTCATAAGAAGAAAGGGAAACGAATAGCAAACTTCTGGTGATGAAGCTTTCGTAATAAATATTCCGATTGGAAAAGGGAAACGAATAGCAAACTTCTGGTGATGAAGCTTTCGTAATAAATATTCCGATTGGAAAATGTGTGACTGGCAAGTAAGAGAGTGGAGAGAGAGATGGGAGCAGCATGCTAGGCATCTTTCCCCCTTTCGTTGTCGAAAAAGTGGGTGGCTTCCAGTTTAGAAGACCATCTCACAGAGGAAGGTTATTCTACTGTGAGCTTCTGCATCCGTGATCTTTGCTTGCTGCTTCTGTGCTTTTGAGGTTTTGTTTTCAATTTCTTCTGAAATCACTAACACAAACGCCTCAATGGTGATTCAGTACACGCTATGAAATTTTAACACAAAACACACTCAACAAGGAAGAGGATAGAATGAGAATGTAGGTGCTCCGGCCAATAACTTTTTACACATCTTTACTTTTCTACAGAAAGCATCAACATATGCCTACACTCGTGCTGATGTCATCAGGCTTCGATGGGCGTTTCTGCGCGTATTCTAAATTTCCTAACTCTTAATCGTTAGTTTGGGACGCACTCGGAGGGCTTCTTCAAGACAGAGTGCAGGGCCTGGGGTGTGGCTCAGAGAGAGCGCACTTGCTTACCAGGCATGAGGCCCTTGGTTCAATCCCCAGCACTGCCAAATAATACTAATCAATATTAATACTGTTACTAATAACAATCAACTAAAAAAGAGGGCTGGGCTCTATTCCTAGGGCTTCTGATTCAGTAGCTTCTTGGGTGGGATGTGAGAATTTGCATTTCCACCAAGTTTTCAGCTCATGCTAATGCTCCTGTCCAGGGACAAGATGTGCAGAAGCATGAATTTCAATAATACAGGTAGGGTCTCTGCATCTGGTCCTCCATATTAGGATCCTAACAAGAGTCATGAACAAAATCACATGATGGGAGAAAGGGGAATCATTACAAGTAGAGGTAGTTTTGTTTGCTTTCCATAGTGAGCACCGACCATAATTATCAATGTTCTTAAGGTATGTATGCACTGGCCAGGAATGGTGCTGCATGGTTGTAATCCTAGTACTCTGGGAGGCTGAGGCAGGAGGACTGCAAATTCCAGCCCCTGCTAGACAATTTGTTTACTTAGTGAGACCCTGTCTGAAAATAAAAAGTAAAAAGGGCTGGAAAAGGCCCTGGGTTTAATCTCCACTAACATTAACACATATACCCTCACCACACACACACACAAACACACACACACACACACACACACACCAACATACACGCAGCACCACTTATAAATAATGCATGAGACCCTGTCTGAAAATAAAAAGTAAAAAGGGCTGGAAAAGGCCCTGGGTTTAATCTCCACTAACATTAACACATATACCCTCACCACACACACACACAAACACACACACACACACACACACACACCACCATACACGCAGCATGCCTTAAGTAAATAATGCCTAATTTAAAAAGAATACCTTCATCCTTTCTGCAAATAGTATTTCCATAAGGCAAATTTAATTCCTTTATTAAATTACTGTCCCTGAAGAAACACTTAAGAAGGCTTCACAAAGCCCAATTTCAAAGATAACTGGCCACCTTCAGTTGTGTATAATAAGCATTCATTTGAAAGCATCAACTGAGCTACACTTTGCACATGGCAAAGGCAAAAGACATGAGCTTTTTAAAATCTATAATAGCAAAAACATGTGGTGCTGTCTAATCGTGCATTCATAACTTGTGGGCATGGCATTCAGTGCTGTCGGGAATATGTGAGGACTTTTTCTGTTTTAAGGCACAGGTTGTGTTTCATAGGAATATTGCTTATTGACGATACAAATAACAAAAAAATGTAATTTGTTTTACTCAACAATTCCCAAAATTAATATAGTTATTAAGAACAAGAAATGTACCATCAGACAATGTATGTATGTGTGTATATATGTATGTATGTATATATATATATATCCTCAGTTTCTGTGAATTAAGGATTTTTTAGCTCTATATCTAACCTGTATGATGTAATAATATAAACTCACCTCCTTTTGTTGTTTTAAGAATTAAGACAATTTGTAGGATAAATAATACAGTGCCTAGCATGTAGTAAGTAGTCAATAAATTTAAGCCATTATCACAGAACATTCATTTTTGAAGATTTTAAGTGAAAAAAGGGAGGGAAGGATTCTATGATCAAAATTTGAGAAAAACTGGGTTCACTAAGACTTCAAAAATTTGTTTACTAATAGACCTTTCCAGGCTCCTTAGTATGGTACAGGAAAAGATAGTTTTATCCAGCTGATCTGATCAGCGCAGTTTTTTGTTTGTTTGTTTTGTTTTGTCAAAAAGCAAAGAGGTAGACCAGAGAACACACTTTGAAACATAATTTCAAGCAATACAAATCTGGTTGTGTTTACTTTTCTTCAAAAGCTTTCTCAGCGCCATCTTCAAAGCAAATTTTTTTTCTGTTGTTCACAGCCCAAAGTAATCACTTCCTGACCTAACCTAACTGTGAAGTGGTCATTCATCACTGTGATTATTTATGTAATGCCTATATCTTTCACTGCCTTGTAAACTCCCTAAGTGCTGGACCTATTTTTGCCCCATACCACATTCCTCAAGGCCAAGTTGGGGGCTGAAACAAAAATGCTCATGTTTTGTGAATTTATTTGTGCATTTAATATGGACCCAAGGGAGGGAAGAGCAATATATATAATTCTTAATACCTTGGCCATGTTTTTATGTCTATGGAGATCCACTTACTGAAAAAGAAAGCCACGAACTATCATAGAAACAGAACATTTTCTTACATCTTCTACAACTCCGGTAGAACTTTCACAGCTGGTCTTCCTTCCACAATAACAAAAATGCTATAAGATGAGTAGTGGAAATACCTGATCCCAGGAAACTGGACCATCATCTGATTCTTTGTCCACAGATACAGCTACAGAAAAGTTAGGGTGATCCCAATCATGGACCTTTATGTGGCCTTGTTTCCTTCGAGGTTGATGGATTTCATCCTTTTTGTGACAGATTCTTTTGGTCCAAAGAATCCTGAAGAGTTGTTCCAGTTCTAGAAATTTCATATAAAATCTGGTGTCACATAGACTAGATAAGTTCAGAACAGTTGTGATTTCACATGCCTACAACACAGATATTTTACAAGATAATGAAAAGCCAAAGTTTGATCTTGAGTAAAGCTAAAAATCATTTATATTTCACATATATATTGACTCCCTCACAAGATCCTGGCTAAACTTTGGGGTTGAGCCAGTTTTCACAAAAGTATTTTTATACCCTAAGATAATAAAATGACATTCTACCAATAAGAATGCTTTCCATTAAAACAAGAACTTTCCTGCTCGATGAAAATGTAGAAAACTATTCTAGTTTGAAGAAATGGATTCCTTTGAGGCATTCTATATATTTAGTAGGTTGACTATTACCTTTATATAGGTAAATCAAACAAACTGTTTTCCTGTTGAGTGTATATGGAGAAAGTAAAAATAAGTGAAAATGAGCTAAGGCCATAGACAAACTAGATCTTGTTTTTCTAAGCCTACTAATGCTGCTGCAACAGCTGTAAATTTATAGATTGCAATATAACTCTAGACTTCTGAGAACTGATTAATACAGGGAAGATTTAAATGTAACAGTTGAATTTCTGTGGGTTTTTCCTACCTGTGAATAAAATGTGTTTGCAATTTTTTTCAGATGCTATCATTCCTGATAGTTTTGTTTTAAATGATCAGCGTTCAACAAAAAGTTGTAAGACTCACTGAAAACAGAAAATGTGACCCGTGTTCAAGGAAAAGTCAAAAAAATATTCCCAGGTATTGGATTTAATAGACACAGTCTTCAAAGCATCACATATAAATACATTTAAAAGACTTAAAAATCATGTTTAATGAATTAAAAGAAAGTATGACAATAATAATTCAACTAATAGCAATTTCAAATGAAAATATAAAAATTACATATAATTCCCAATGGATATTCTGGAGTTGAAGAATATACTGAGATGAAAAAAAATCACCAGGGGCATTCAACAACATGTTTGATTAGGCAGAATAAAATCACTGAACACAAAGATAGATTAACAGAAATATTCCCATCCTGAAGAAAAAGGAGAAGAACCAGGACCACAGGAAGATGATGATGACAATATCACAAAAGAGACCTGTGGAGTAACAACAAATATATTGATATATATAGATCGGCAGTCAGAAGAGGTAGAGCAAAAGTCAGAAAAAAATAACTGGATACTATAATGGCTAAAAACTATCCATGTCCAATATAGTATCTTTATCATCATGTTTAAGAAGCTCACACACTAGTAGGAAAATGCAAAAAAAGATTCCTATACAGAAGTTACATTATTATGAAACTTTTGAAAGACGAAGGCAAAGAAGAAATCATGAAAACAACAGAGGGAAATGACTCATCACATATAGGGGGCCATCATTCCTGTTCATAGTTGACCTCCTTTCTGAACATCACAAACCAGAAGGTAGTGGGAGGGCATATTCAAAGAGTTAAGTAACCTGGAAAAAAAATCATCAAGTGGGAATTTTATACTCAGCAAAAGAATCCTTTAAAATGAAGGTGGAGAAATCATGGAAAAGAGGGAATGTATCACTAGCAGACCTGCTTACAACGTAAAGTTCTTTGGACTGAAAATCTGACCCAAATTTGGGAAATTTTTGCATTGTGCTCAAGTCCACTGGAAGAAGTGAAGGGCAGCGGAGATGTAAGAATATGGGTTGATGTAAAAGACTACAAACATATTTTGCTTGTTTGTTCTCTAAACTTAATGAAAAACTTCTACAGGCTTTTCTTTCAAAGCCAAAAACATATCAAGAAAGCTGATCACACCTACCACTATTTACCATTATAGTAGAATACATTGAATACGTTGATGCAAGTAGATGAGAAAGCAAATAAAAATATAACAATTATAAAGAAAAAGGCAAAGTATATTGAGCTGGAACTGATATAATTATGTATCCAAAACACCTAAGAAAATCAACATAAAGAATCAAATAATGTAATCATGGAGCAGAGTCTAAAAATAATATAAAAAAATCCGTACACTTTATAATGTCCAATTAGAGGAAAAATGAAATTGAACCTCTTTTAAAACAAGCAAAAAAAAAAAGGTAGATTCTTATATGTAAACATAACAAAGTTTTAACTGTGTATGGAAAATAATAAAACACTTCACAAAAAGACACCTGTAAACAGCCATGGGGGTACAGGCCTGAAATCCCAGTTACTCAAAAGCCTGAGGCAAAAGGACCTCAAACTCAAGACCAATCTGGGAAACTTAGCAAGATTCTGTCTGAAAATTTGAAAAACAGCTGGGCATGGTGGTGCACACTTGTAATCCCAGCACTTGGAAGGCTGAGGCAGGAGGATCACTGTGAATTCGAGACCAGCCTGGGCACATAGTAAGTTTCAGGTCAATCTCAACTACATAGTGAGATCCTGTCTCAAAAAACAGGGTTGAGGATGCATCTTAGTATTAGAGTCCTTGCCTAATATACACAAGGCCCTGGGTTTAATCTCCAGTCCCACAAAACAAACATAGACACAGGTAGACATAATCAAATGGAAAGACATTATGTTCTTGAATATAAAGTTACCACACATAATATATACTGTTTCTATGTAATTGTACAATTTTTAATTTTTATTTTTGGTTATCACAATAAAATTACCACAAGATTTTTCCTGGAGTGTGACAGTTTGATGATGGTCAATTAGGACAAACAAGTAAAAAAAATCTTGAAAAGTAGACACATGGGGAAGCCTAGCTCAACCAGACATTTCTTTACTACAAAGATATTCTAAGTAGAACAGTATGGCATTGGTACCTAAATACACAAGCTGTCAAGCAGAACAGAACAGAAAACTTACAAAGAGACTCAACAACATTTGGAAATGTACTGTGTTACTTAAAAGTAGTATTTCAAACCACTGGAGGAAATAGTGTATTTTAAATAAGAGATACAAGGAAAATGGGATAATCGTACAGAAAAATAAAGTAGGTTTATTCTTCACAAAACATACCACAAATAATTCTAAGTAGATCAGAATTGTAAAGGGCCAGGAATTTAGCTCAGTGGCACCATGCCTGCTTTGCAAGCACAAGGTCCTGAGTTCAATCCCCAGTACAAAAAAAAAAAAAAAA